GAAAATGTGGTAGAATCAACAACTTGTATTAGAGCAGATGTACTTTATTTCACAGACCCAGGGCAAAAAGGGGGTATTGCAGGCATGCATTCTTTTGTAAAATGTTTAAAAAGCAATTCCATTTCAAAGCAAACACAAGGCAGAAAGTAAAGTCCAGTAGGATTTAGGGCAGTGAGAACAAAATCAAACTGCAAACAGCTGTGTAGAACTCCTGTATCTGTGGAGGATCAGTTCCAAGCCCCTGCTCCTGCAGATTCTGAAAAACACGGTTTATATCGAATGCTGTTTTAATAGCAAATGCTACGCATAGCATGGTCACTGGTTCCCTCTCGTAACCATTTCTGGCAACTTCATATTTAGAAATATATATTTCTAGGATTTTTTTAAAAAAAAATTAAATATTTTCTGACAGTGGATAATTGGATTAATGGATAGTGATCCCACAGATTAGGGGATCCTACTTTACTGGGGGAATGGCCACTAAGCAGCAGATGAAATTCAGTGCAAGTGGTAAACAAAACACACTGAGGCAAAACAACCCAGCTTCCCATATGCATCTAAGCTGGCAGCAAAGTGACCAGAAAAGAGATCTCATGGCTGTAACATTTATTTTATTTATTTATTTATTTAATTTATACCCCGCCCATCTGGTCTTCCAACCACTCTATCCAATGCATAGATAAAAACGTACAAATATACACACATAAAAATTATAACATAAGCTAAAAATTAATAAATTATTCAAGATGGCAAAGAAGAAAAGGAGAGAAAAAGAAAAGAAAAGTAATCAAGGGTTAACTGGAGGGAAGGCCTGCACTAAAAAACAATGATATAATTTTTACAACATTATAGGTAGAACATAGTAAAAATAGAGAACAAAATAAAAGGAAAAATCGTCAAGGGTTTTCTGTTGGGAAGGCCTGCCTATACATCAGTGTTTTTAGTTGTTTCTTAAAAATGCCCAGCGAGGGCATAGCTGCTGTACATTCCAGGTTGGGTATAATTTTAAAAAAGGAACTGAAAAATAAAACTGCTTCTGTCATAATGCCTTTGTAAAAACCAGTGGTTCCCAACCTTGGGTACCCAGATGTTCACGGACTAAAACTCACAGAGGTCTTCACCACTAGCTGTGCTTGGCCAGTATTTCTGGGAGTTGTAGTCCAAGAACATATGGGAACTTAAGATGAAGAACAACAAACCTATTGTGTGACCAGTTCTGCACATATATGTGTATTGTTCTGATCATCACACCTACAAAGCAATATTGTAGGACTGGAAAAGTTACAGGTATTGCAAAGAACTATAACTCTCACACTATACATTGTAACGTTTTCCAGCTATTTTGATACATTTTCAATTTTCTCCCATGGCTCTACTGTCAGTCGTGGAAGAAATGATTTCACAAGGTACTGTTTGTGATGATTTGTGTATCATACAGTGACCTTGCTCCAGACCTGCCTGGAGAGCTGGCTAATTGTTTTGCAGTAGGTTTCAGAAAACTTACACCTCTGTTTTGTCCGAATTTAGTTTCAGTTTGTTCACCCTCGTCCAGCCCCTTATCATGTCCAGGCAACATTCAAGAGTCCTGACAGCTTCATCAGTGTTGCACGATAAGGAGCAACAGAGATAGGTGTCAGCAGCACATTGGTGGCATCTCACTCAGAGTTCTAAATAACCTCTCCCAGTGGCATCATATTGATGTTAAACAATGTAGGTAATAAGATGGGACCTGAGGGATGCCAAAGGCAAAAACATTGGATGATGCACCCTTTGTACAGTATATGTCCTGACAAGAAGGATCAGAACCACTGTAATATAGTGTCTTCGAAAGCCAAACTAGCTGGGCGACCCGAAAGGATATCTTGGTCAATGATATCAAATGCCACTGAAAATTTCAGGAGAACTGATAAGTTTGCACTCCCCTTATCTAGTCACTGGTTTAGGTCATCTACCAAGACAAACAAAAAGGTCTTCAGTCCCATATCTTGTCTAAAAGCCTGGTTAAAGTGGGGCCGGCATCTTCACAGGATAGGAGTTAGAACTCTGTCTGTGTTCTGGTGTAATGAAGATGCTGGCCACAGAGACTGGCGAAATGTTCAGAGGAAAAACCTCCAGAACATGAACAACCAGCCTGAAAAACCTACAACAAACCTACAACCTACCATCGGATCCCAGCCACAAAAGCCTTCCAGAATACATCATTCTGCACTGTTCGGAGTTTCAGGGTCATCAACTTCTCAACCACCTTAATGGTAAATGGTAAACTACATAGCACAGGTGCCTGGGAGTAGGAAGGGCAAGGAAGAAAGCTTCAGTTCTCCTCTCCCCGCCCCCACACATACACCTAGGAATCGTAATCTTGCTATTTCTTTAAATATTCAAAGGTAAAAACTACAGTGAGGTCAACAACTCATAGGTATAATTCCCAGATGTATTTCGATGCCCTTGTTTCCTAGCCCTGCTAAGCAAATTAGCACCTACGTCAGGATATGAAAATCTCTGTTACATGGATGACTGTTTTTTTCTTTAAAAAATAATCATCACATATTAAAAACTTGATATTTGGAGTTCATGAAATGCATTAAATATGCAAAGCGACACAAAGAAAAATATGAATCAATTTTCCTGAATCTTGGGGGGGGGAGAGGGGGAAATGAGGATTCTTCCTTTCTGATTATTTCATTGAACCCTACAATGAGATCATTTAGCCCTCATACCAAAAGCTCCCAGACAGCACTTTTTCATCCTAAACTTTTAGCTTCCTTCTTCCTCAACCTGCCATTCTCAAATGAGCTTTCTTGCTAATCTACTTAACAGCAAATAACCAAGGAACAGACACATATCCCATAAAAGAGATTTACTTCTGAATAGGATGGTATTACCAAACGTGACTTCAAAGGGGAGGAAAGATAGATGAGGACCAAGATAGATGCTACAGAATAAAGGAACAGATTTGGAATATTTCATGATAATTAAAATTCACCTGTCAGAGCTAAGGAGTAGGACTCCTTGCCCGAGAGGAAAAGAATGAAGCACCTCTATTGCAGAAAACGTTTGCCAATTGCCATTTTGTCAAAGTGTGTTTACTGAACTCTCTGGAACTTTACTTTCCAGTTATATTTGTATATGGATTAATATGATATTAACATTACATTATACACTGAACAGCTGAGCCAAACTTCCCATTATGCCCTCTATGGCATTAACTTCTTATTTCTTTTCTCACACATACCTACACACAAGCCATCACACACATACAGAATGATATAGTCACACATACGTTTGTTACTATAACATTAATGTTATTGTTGCTATGTACCATTTAGTCACCTCCATCTAATGGCGACCTTAATAGAGTTTTTGAAACACCTCGGATACTCAAGGAGCAGCTTTCCACTGTCACCTCAACCCCACATCCAGTTGGTTTCTCCGACTGAGCAGGACTTGAACCCACATCTCATGAATCCTAACACTCTATTTGCTATACCATAGTGGTTTTCAACACCAAAGTGGGAGAATGATTTAGTGAAACTGTGGCATATCCCAGTAGGTCTGGGTTTGTCACAGCTATGTACCATTTAGTCACCACCATCTAATGGCGACCTTAATAGAGTTTTTGAAACACCTCGGATACTCAAGGAGCAGCTTTCCACTGTCACCTCAACCCCACATCCAGTTGGTTTCTCTGACTGAGCAGGACTTGAACCCACATCTCATGAATCATAACACTCTATTTGCTATACCATAGTGGTTCTCAACACCAAAGTGGGAATCATCAAATAATTATTTTGCCCCTATGCATGCTAGCAGAGTTACCAACAAACAGAATATTTTAACAAAAAAGCAAGTAAAGCAAAGATTTTCAATATAATTTCTTATAATGATAATTCTTATAATTTCTCTGTTGATAATATTTAGTGTGTCAGGCCTAGTCTCATTTAGGTACTTCAAAACAACAATAAGGTTTGAAACATATCAGCAACTCCTAAAGCTGTGAAAATCGTGTTTCAATATGTAGAATGCAGGTCTGAGGAAATGTTGACTTTCTGAAATTGGGAAGGCAGGGAACCAAATCCCACAACTTCTATTTCTAGGGCATGTAAAATTACAGTTATAACATTTTTGCCATTTTTGTAAGTATAACAATTTCATGTTTCATTCAGAACATGAAAACATTGTGTACTATATGGAAGAAAGGGATGTTAGACCAGCTGCCACTGGTCTAAGCCTACAGAAGTATTGAACTTGTGGCAGAGCTTTTTTTTTAAAGTAGTCACTCTCTCAGATAAAATGCCTGCATTTAGAAATAATAAGCAGATACAGTTATTAATATGTACATTTAATGCATTTCTTATCTACCTTTGAAGGCGACTCTATTTCCAGAAAGGAGAAAAAGGACCCACTTTTTTCCAATAATTTCACTCTCAGTATGTTCCACATCTGTCTAAGCACTAACAAGCCAAAATTGCTCGAGATCTACCTAATACCTATAAAACACATATACAGAATATCCAGTTGTTTCATCATAGAAGCAAACTATATGTAGCTTATTCTTTCAAACTGAGTGATGTGAAAAGACATAACCTGGAAATGTGGGATATGACCCATAGTGTACAGAGTATGTCTTTTAAATTTTTATTAAATGGGAATTTTGCATCACAGTTTTCCATACAGCAGAACTAGACTCTGTGATCTTGGTACATCATTAGACAAAAGAACTGGGAATTAGCCTGACTTCTGTGTGAAAGGCATCTGCATGGGATTAACTCAAGAAATTGCACATAGATATTGCTCATCCACAGCTAAAAATGAAACAGGTGGCTGTGCTCCCGGGGAGAGGGGGGTTTCTTCCAGATCCAGACTTCTAGGATGCAGAACTAAGGCCCAGTAAAAGTCAGCACTGCCCAGATTAGACCAAGCAAATTGCACAGAACAGACAGTGGAAACCATCCAGGATTTCAGTTTATCTTGGAGCTCAGGAAAGATTGCAGAGTACTTACTGCTAGAAGTGGAGAGTTCTTTTGGACTCGATGACATTGGCTGAGCACACATTTGACAGAGGCAGTCTCTCCCATTAAAAGTAACCCGGTCTCCTGGTGGGAAAGGACGTCTGGAGAGCAAAAGAACAAAAGGATCTTAATGCAAGGTTATCTCTGCAGTCTCATTCTCACAGTCTCTACCCCCCCCCCTCACAGCAGCCGCCTTTGGTGATGCAAATCAATATCTTGCAGAAACATGGGCCAAAAATGTTCGAAATGTAACACTGGGAAAGCCAAGACTTTGGAGGCGATCCAAGGACTAAACGCACCTACCTTCACAGGGGGAAAAGCTGACATTAGATGAGACTAATCACTTTTACAAAGCAAAGGTATCATGGAAGCGCAGAAACTTCTGAAGCAAGAGAGGGTTGTTTTGATATGTGTGGGTGTTTTTGTTTTTAAAGCACACACCCACATAGACACATACAGACAATGTTTCTTTTCTTTTCCTTTCTCTCTCAATCTCTGTTTTGAGAAATGTGGGCCACTGACTACTGCTTTCTAAGGCATTTTGGCACCGCAAATTCCCCAGCTTCACCCACAGACATTAACTGCTGATCACATAGTAGCTCACATTAAGAACAATAATATCCCACGCTCGCTCAGGGCAGCCAATGTGGTTTTTCATCTCCTCACTTTACTCCCACAACAACCCAGTGAAGTAGGTCAGGTAGAGAGAGTTTGTCTGTTCCAAGGCAACCCAGGGAGCTTTGTGGCTTAGTGGGGACTTGACTTGATGTCCCAAATGCCAATCCAGCACTCTGAACTGCTCCACTGCATTGGCTCTTACGTGGACCGTTGCTCTTCTCAACTGATGCCCCCAATTGGGGTTGTTCCTAGTCTTCTCAGCAGTTACAACAACTCTGCTCACAAGGGAATAGTGATCACCTTTCCAATTCTGCCAGCACTGTAGTATTTGATGAGTTACAGAAAACAAAGCTAGAGATCACCATGGCCAGGCAGGAACCACTGCTGCTGGTGGCTCTGGCAACAGCAGACACCATATTGGCCTTGTGTGTCTCTCCGCAGCTGCAGTAGATGCCTCCCAAATTGCAGCAGTGCACATGCGTCTGGGCACAGGGCCCTCGATCAACAGCTAGGAGGGGCTCCCGAGCAGAGAAGGCAATTGTGGGAGTGTGTCCCTCCATGTCCTCCCCTTCCCCCACAGATATTGTTATTTATTGCTGGGAAGGAGGGGGAGAGAGGGAGGGTGCATGAGCTAGGCCCTCAAAACATGACTTGGAAAAATGGGTTCAAGTCACAAATTGAGTCTAAGTCTTTAAAAAAAATGAGTTGAGTCATCGGTATGACTTAAATCAACCTTGACAGCAAGTCGTGAGTCCCAAGTCCTGCTAAGTACTTCCTGGTTCCCAACTGGGTTATTTAGCAGCTAGAAACTAGAGTTGCTGAATCAAACAAATCAATTAAGGTTTTAAAAAGCCCTACAGTTTTAAATAGAGAAATATTCTAGAACACCTTGGATTTACAGACCGTCCCTCATCCAGAGATTGTAATAATTCCATCTTGTTTCCAGAGCCAGGCAAGATGGGATAATTACAATCTGGGTGTGTTCCAGATTATATTCACTGAGAAAAAGGATGGGCAAAGTATGGTTCTCCAGATGTTTTGGGGCTGTAACTCCTGAGTTAGCATGGCCAATTATTCAGAAAGTTGGGAGTGGTAGGCCAGCCTCTAGAGGGTATACTGCTGTAAAATAAAATTATTCAAAAATGAAATACTACTTACAATATAATGTAGAAAAGAAAAATACCTCCATCAGTAAAACCTTTATGCAGGTATATGGGGATGTGCGTAACTATCAGCAAAATAGACAAGGGCACTACCTCACAGTGCCATTTATACAACTAGTAGAATCCTATGTGGCTTCTCAACATGATTTTGTCCTTTTTAAGGGGAAAGAAGGGGTAGAAATATTTTAAATAAATGAATTGTTAAACCAGTTGACTTACTTGCACACAGTGCAGGCAAAGCAGTTGGGATGATAGGTTTTCCCAAGAGCAGTGACGACTTCTCCTTCCACAAACTCTCCACAGCCATTGCACCGGGTCCCGTACATCCGCTGGTAATCCACGGTACAAAGGTATTCCCCATTTTTAATAAAAAAGCCACCTTGAGCCAAGTCACACCCGCACACTGTAGAAAAACAACCAAACAAGAACAAATTGATTAATCATTAGAAGCACATTACATGACTGATTACTAGACCACAAGGTTATGAGGAACATACTGGGATGCCAATGGCAGCCCGAAGACAAAGCAGACACGACCTTGCAGGCAATATTCAGACCTCATTATAGCAGAGGTTTGGAGTCATCTGGCTATATATTTGTTATTCCACTGATGTTTAAAAAGTATCTGTTACATTTATATTGTGTTTCATCCGCATAGTTTCAGAACAGGTACTGTAATAGGTAATATGATTATGACAAAATAAAATACAAAATATCAGAGTCCCCATCTTCCCTTCATGACTCAATACCAATTTCTATCAAGAAAAGGCCAACAGAAATTTTAGAGGGTAGCCATGTCAATCTGTTGCCGTAAAAGCTGTCTTGTGCTACTTTAAGATTAAGACTCTGATTTCATATCTCAACCAACAATATGGACTCCCCTGGAAACGTCCAGAAGAGTATAATGGAAAGCTCAACAGACATTTGCAGCCAACATCATGATTGTTATCAGAAAAGATCAAGTAATTAATAAACAGAACTCTGCTTGGAAGGACCTTCCCAAAAGCCAGGTCTTGCCTGAATACAAGGTCCTCTCTTGTCTAGACTTGACCTTCCAGAAGTATCCTGGCTTTAAATGCCTAAACTACTAATAAAATACTTGAACTCCTAAAATTAATTTTACATTGGCTAAGAAGATTGAAATGCTTCCTCCTCACTTGGCTTGCATATTGCCATGTGCCCAGTATGGGGAGATCACTGCTCAGCCTATGCAGGAAATCAGATGAGGAACCAAAGAGAAATAAGAGTCCAAATTTAGAGCTCCTCGGGATTAGCAAACCTTCAAAAACATAATCATGAGACACAATTTCTTTGAGGGGAGTCAATGGTGGCGGCATCTGAGTGGTACCATCTAGAAATTTTCTCCAGTAGCTGGCTGTTATAAATCTGGATACCTCGTCCATATTTATAACAGTAGGCCAAAATACAACACAGCTGATAGATCTTTTTCCACACTTTTCTTGAGATGACAATGCAATTTTAACAGCTATGTCCTACATTCAGTTCATACAGAGTATAAGGGCTTCATAAATAGAAAAGGATTTTAGTATCTCATATATAACACTAGGCGAGCAGCAGTAATTTCTCCCGAAGCACATGTCCCATTTAAGGGATTTTATGGCTCGCTGGTGCCACTTTCAAAACAATTAATACCTCAGAACTGTTATACAGTTTGGGAAGTTCATTGCTCTGGTCTCTGATCCTGTTTAGCAGTTAACACTGGGAAGTTTTTCCAGTGGTATTAATTTTCTTTCCTGGTGCAGAAAAGCCATGTACTTTCACCCTTTGGGACTTGAACCTAATTTTAATTAAGTTAAAACCATTTTAATTAATGCAAGTTTTTAAGAAAGCTACCACCATCACTACTTTTCTTTCTTTGAAATGTAATGGAGAATATCGACATTCAATAATCACAATGTGGAGGTAACTAGCTATGAATAGCTACTTAATTGCAATTATTCCCTTTTCCAATACAGTAACACAGGTAGAACCACATTCTATTAAAAATGTAAGAGGAATAACTTCATTCATTGCAACACATCTGTAGGTTTTTTAGTAACTTCTACAGTTATGGCATGTAGCCTCACTAAACAATGGAAAATAAATATCACAGAGTTCAGCTGCCGGCTTGTGATGTGCTTCCTGCTTTTTGGAGGTATTGAGATAAGAGCAAGATAGATGGAAAAAGAGAGTATCCTACCACAAGCCTCCTGCTTGCAATGTTAAGGTGCTGCTCCTGTTTTGTCAAAGCATCTACTAGTTCTGAGAATCTTGGAAGAAAAACAGTTTTAGAAAACACTAGAACTACAATGCCTACTAACTGAAGTATATGCCCCGCAGAGTTGCAATCACTTCTCACTCTTGCTGCTTTCACCAGGGGGTCTGAAGTTGAACCTCTTCAAACTGTGCTATTAAGCGGTTTTACTGACTAATGTGATTTTTTTAAAGTAATATAACCGCTTTCCGAGTTAGATGGAAGCACAAGCTGGGAGTTCAGTCCCCACTCTGCATCTCAGAAGAACAACCTGTGCGGTCCTGGACAAGCTGTACAGTCCTAGGATGTCTCCAGAAGACGGGAAGGGTAAACCACTTGGGAGTATTCTCTCCCTAGAAAACTCTGAAAAGGGTCGCATAAGTCACAATTGACTTGATAGTACACAGTCATTATATGATTAACTGCTCTGATTATTAAGGCTGTCAATGGTGTTACCAGGCAATCTGGTTTTAATTCATTTTAATATGCTTTAATAATGCTTGTTAGTTGACTTGAGCGCTGCAGTTTTTTTAAATGGAAAGGCAGACTACAAGTAATAAATAGATAAACACATGAATTCTCTGAGTGCCAAATTTATTTATTTATTTATGTATTTATTTACAAACACATGAATTCTCTGAGTGCCAAATGAAGTGTCAGGAAATAGTTAAAACTTCTCCAGGTTTTGGGGCAAGAAGACAAATCTCAGGACAAGTAGCACACTGGAGAAGACTGGGAACCAACCTCTAACCAACCTCTATCAGGGCTCTGAATGAAGGTGCTTTTACGTATGCATTGTCTAAAATAGTGAAATGTATCAAACACATGCAGTCTTCCACTCTATGTACTCACTCTTGACTTTGAAAATGTCATCATTGGGGTCACTGTGCTATGTGAAATACTACTACTGTGACTCAGATGTGACTTAAACACAGTTGTATCTCAGGGTCAGATCACAAGTTAAGACAAATGTGCATTTCTATCTAAACATTATGCCTCCTTGTCGTCTTTTCTTTCCTCCCTTAGAAGCCCATGAAAAACTACTGAATATTTCAATAGCATGAGATGGTTCAATTATCTTCAAGGACAGGATAGCAGCAACACATTTAGCACTGCTGCACAGAAAAAAAGAATTTTTGTCTTCTAACAAATAGGGGTAAGGTCTTCAGAGAATCTTGTTTCCAATAAATCAAATAAAGGTTTAATAAAATGTTTGCTTGTAGCCTGTCATCTCTTCAGCATTATGCGCTTGAGACATTGGACATACCGACGAGCTGTATTCCCTTTGACCAATTAGAAGCAAGCTAATTTTCCAAATACAGGTCGAAGCAATCCTGTATTGGAATAAGCAGGCAGTGTTTTCCTCATAGGTACATATTATTTCTAGGGAGTCCTGTCTAGCAGGGATCTCACTGACACAGCATGTGTTTTGCATGCAAAAAGCTTGCAAGTTTAATCCCTGGCATCTCCAGGCGGTGGTGTCTGAAACCCTGAATTGTTGCTACAAGTCAGCATAACACAGTACAGTAGTGACCGAAGATAAATCAATGGCATGCAGTATCAGGGGACTGGAAGCCAAGCTCTATGAAGAAAGGCTGAAAGAACTGGACATTTTTGTCCTTGAGAAAAGAAAATGGAGTGGAGATTTGATAACACTTTTCAAATATGTGAAACATAGCCATTCCAGAGTACAGGACACAAAATAATGGGCTCAAGCTACAGGAAGCCAGAGATAGGCAGAATGTCAGGAAAACTTCTTAACTTTTAGAGCCACATGACAATTGAACCAATTACCTTGGGAGGTGGCTGGAGGCATTCAAGAGAACATTGGACAACCATCTGTTAGATCTGCTTTGATTTGGATTCCTGCATTGAGCAGGGGGGTGGACTTGACAGCCTTATAGGCCCTTTTCAACTCAATTATTCTATTATTCTATGACTCTGTATGAAGCAGCTTCTTAGGATACCAAACTATTATCCTAGACACCAAATGACAGGTCATTTGAACTGCTCTGCATCTTTGCTGACTTCACCACTGCACAGTAAGAAGAGACACCAACCACAGTGAAATAAGAGATACATCAAATTATTCTATGTAATTTTGGATTCTCACTCCCCTTTGGCTCAAATTTCATGAGCAAGTAGCAATTAGATATGAAAGGTAAATTAACAACTTCAGCATTAATGCCAATCCTACAGAAAATGTAACTTAATAAAATGCAGTCATATGCTAAGTAAAATGAAACAGTACAGCAATAATGGCTTAACATGGTGCAGAAAAAGGCAAATTTGTAATTCTTCCATGTTTCCATTATTTGTGAAAAATTAATAATGTTTTGTCTCAGTTCGTCATTTCTTATAAAAAGGCCATTACTTTTCCTATCTTTGTCCTTTGTCCTATATTGAAATCTTTCTTGGGCTTGGACTAACTGTATTAAGAACTATGGGATGCTGGTCTATAATGGAGACCAGATATTCTTAAAATAAAAATGATTACTTCTAATGCATTTTGTTTGTTTTAGAGCTTTACCATTTGCATATGTGTGCTACTTTGGGCACATATTTACTTTTATTGTGTATACAGTATATATAATTTTTGGTGGCTTGTGAGGTACTTTGGTTACCCTCTACTTTATATTACCAGGATTTATGGTTTTTAACTGAGGAATTTTCAGATTCTCATCAACTAGGAGGGAACTGATATTCACTGTATTCCATTCCACTTTATTTGCTATCTATTTTTCCATGTTTTTATGGATCTATATTTTTGGGTTGTTCTGTTTAGGTTTTGGTTGGAATTAGACGTGGGGGCATTCGTATTCATATACTAACGAGGGTCTAGCCCCCTGGGGCTGGACTCTCCACTCACCCTTCTGCTGCTGCTGCAGGCAGTTTTGGTTGGAATTAGACATGGGGGGATTCGTATTCGTATACTAATACCCCCACACAGGTGGGCATAACGAGGGTCTAGCCCCCTGGGGCTGGAATCTCCACTCATCCTTCTGCTGCTGCTGCAGGCTCTGCGCCCCCTTCCTATCACTCCGGAGCTCATGGTTGACTAGCCATTTCTGTCAAGAGGCAGGATGATGAGCCTCCCTGCCAGGTCAAAGAGTGGCTCTGAGAATACATCGAGACAGATAAAATTCTAG